CCTCGATCATGCGTAATCGTGGCTGGAGCTCCAAAGCGAGCTACCCAGTTCTCCACTAGAGCTATGGCTACTGTCTCGGCAGTGGCATCCGCTATCGGGATCGCTTCGGGCCAACGGGTGAACCTGTCGATACAAGTCAGCAGATAAATGTGCCCTTTCGAGGGCGGTAGTGGCCCAACAAGATCAATATGAACGTGTGCAAAACGGGCATCGGGGTTGGCAAAAGTGCCAAGCGGTGAGTGTGTATGACGTTGGATTTTTGCGCGCTGACATGGGATGCAAGTACGCGCCCATGCACAAATGTCCTTGTTCATACCCCGCCACACAAAACGGGCCGCGATAAGCTTTTGCGAAGCTTTAATGCCCGGATGCGCGAGATTGTGCAGATTGTCAAACAACGATCGCCGGTGCGCTACCGATACATACGGCCGCGGATGCCCTGTGGACATGTCGCACCAAATGTGCGCGTCCCCTTCCGGAAGGAGGACCTTCTCAAATTTGAGCGAGGTTGACGTGTCTGAGCGCAGAGCAGCGAGCTCAACGTCATCGACTTGGTCGGTCGCGACTACACGCAGGTTAATCGAGTTCGGTAATTGCACTGAGTCAATCTCGGTGCGAGAAAGTGCATCAGCTACCTGATTATCAACGCCTCGAATATGGCGTATGTCGGAGGTAAACTGTGACACGTAATCGAGTTGCCGCGCTTCCCTAGGGGAATGTCGATCGGGCGATGTCTTGAGTGCGAAGGTAAGAGGCTTGTGGTCTGTAAAAACAAAAAAATCACGCCCCTCTAAGAAGTATCGGAAATGGCGTATTCCGAGGTAAATGGCTAGCAGCTCTCGACCAAAGGTACTATACCTAGTCTCGGGAGGCTTGAGGCGGCGAGAAAAGAACGCAAGCGGTCGCCACTCCCCTTCATGGAGTTGCTGTAACACACCACCTACGGCGAGATCGGAAGCGTCTACCGCGAGGCTTGTAGGTAGCTCAACAGACGGGTATGTAAGCATCGTGACGTTCGCGAGGTCCTCTTTGACAGCCGCGAAAGCAGAGTCGCACACAGGGGACCAATCTAACGCCTTTCGAGAGCGCTTAGGTTGCTTGCGCAGCAAATCAGTCAAGGCGGCCAGCGAGGATGCGCACTTAGGCATAAATCGGCGGTAAAAATTAACCATGCTAAGAACCGGCGCAGCTGGCGTAGCGAGGTAGGGCGCGGAAATTTGCGAATTACCGCGACCTTGTCATCCATCGGGGAGACGCCCTGGGCAGTCACATGGTGCCCTAGAAAGTCTAGTGCTTCGACTCCAAACTGGCATTTGTCAGGATGCACTACTACTCCATAATCACGGAGGCTTGTGAACAGCTGGCGCAAATGAGTCTCGTGCTGTTCGGGATTCTCGCTGGCAACAAGAATATCATCAAGATACACGAATACAAATGGCAGGTCACGGACGACCCTATCAATAAACCTTTGAAAGGTTTGCGCCGCGTTGCGTAGTCCGAATGGCATGCGTCGGAAATGGAATAACCCAAAAGGGGTTGTCAGCGCGGTCTTCTTCACATCATCAGGGTGTACGGGGATCTGATGATATGCGCGCACTAAGTCAACTTTGGAAAATACGCACTTGTCTCGCAACTGTGCGGCAAAGTCGTGAAGGTGCGGAATGGGATAGCGATCCGGGACGGTCACGCGATTAAGAGCGCGGTAATCGCCACATGGTCGCCAACCGCCTGACTTCTTTGGCACCATGTGGAGCGGCGACGCCCATGAACTGTCTGAGGGCTCGACAATGCCCAAATCGAGTAACCGGCCAAACTCGTCTTTAGCGATCTTGTGTTTGTCCGGCGCTAAGCGTCGAGGTCGTGCCGAAACTGGTGGGCCGGTTGTGAGTATTCTATGTGTGACGTCATGTTTCAACGGACAGTTCTTAAACATGGGCCGAGTTACTTCCGTGAACTCGGCAAGTAAGCGTTTGTAGACAGAATCGGAGTCTACTTGCACTATTGTGAGATTCAGCGACGGTAAGTCGGAGGCGATGCCATGTACGGACAGACTAGTGGTGGCATCCCAAAGTCGGTTGGTGCGCAAATCCACCAGTAAGCCGTAATGCCTCAAAAAATCTGCGCCGAGGATAGGCTGCGAAACATCGGCCAATATGAATGACCACTTAAACGAACGCCGCAGCCCAATACACACTGTGAGCTCACGCTGCCCATATGTGCATATGCGCGTCTTGTTTGCAGCCTGCAAAACGAGTGGCATAAGGTGCCTCTTATCAGCGGTGTTGGCAGGAATTACGCTTACCGCGGCACCCGTATCGACCAAAAATCGTGTCCCAGAATCTCTATCTGTGACATAGAACAAGCGACCGTCACGAAGAGGGCCAGTGAGGGGTGTCGCGCCCACCTCCTGGCCTAGTTGTTTTCCGCCGGCTTGCTATATGTGCATGGCGGGCGGCACTGGTGAGCCTTGTCACCCCACTTCTCATGATACCAGCAAACTTCAAAAGTGCTCGCTGATTTATAGCCGGATGAGTCGCGCTTCCGGTTGCTGCTCATGCTGCTGCTTCGGCTCCGCATGCAACCGATAGTGGCGGTCAATTCCTTGACCAATTTCGTGAGCGCAGCAACTTGGTGCTGAAGACTATTTGGTTCAGTCATGACGCCGCGCCACGCCCACTGTTCGCACAACTAAATTCAATGAATTAAGTGTATCAGTAAGAAATGTGATTATCTAATGGTAAAAAAAATATATTAATAAGCAAAGGTAATCTAACTAAATGTTTCTTATCTCAGGGGTATCACGTCGGGGTCACCAATTTGGAAAACTACATGGGGTATGGACTATGTTGCGTGTTAACTAGTAATCCCACATAATTCCCTTTTTTAATTAAACTACTAAAAAGCAGTATCCCTCCAGACAAGAAAACACTTAATAAATGATCACATCCAGACAAATTGATTATGGTTAAAAACTGGTTCTATATTCTATAATTTCACATAAGATACAATGATTACAGAATTATCAGAAACCTCTTCTGTCTATCTCAACAGTGACAGACAATTAAACTATCACTAGGCCCTTGGTAGTTACTATTAATAATCAAACATAGATAACTTCCAACAGCACATTAATGTAAAGGAGACTCAACTTAGTCACTATGGTATTAATGATTACCGCTGAATACAAGTCTCGAAATATCAGGAGTCTAGCTGTTCAGTACAACTTAAAACAGTACTAAAACAAGTCAGTTAAATATCATTCCCACTGCATGAATAATAACAGTCAAGAAAATACTACTCAAACCTAAGCTAGACAGCGTTTAGATTTACTTACATAGGCACGAAATATTGTGGTTCAAGAAACCGCTAAACAAATCTCTACTTGTGTATGTGTACGGAATGCACAACACGAGAATACCACAATATATCGGTGGATCTAGACTATAGCAGATCTAGATCAGTAGACCAGGCATAGGCCTAGAACTAGTGCAATTATAAACATGTAAAATATGTGTCAGTAAGCGTACGCACTCAACAACAGGCACTCAGTCAGTCAAAATAAGGCCTCACAATGATAAACAATGCAAAGCATAAATCACAATATAATTAACGTTACGTGAGTCATTGGAGTTGAATTCAAAGTAGATCTTCTTCAAGTTCTAGGTAGATGTAGAAACTAGCTAGTCGAAAACAGTGGTCGACGAGCTGGTTGTCGATCGCGTAGGATATGCAGACGATGATCGACGCTAGGTGAATACCACGATGATGAAGACAACGATGATGACAACAATGATGAAGACGACGCTGGTGAAGACAGCGATGATGAAGTCGACGATGAAGACGACGCTGGTGAAGACAGCGATGATGAAGACAACGGTGATGAAGACAACGATGATGAATCAGTTAACAGATGAATACAATGATGATGCAGTCAATGTCAATAGATCAACTTCAGTGACTTGCGATGCAGGTCGAAGAATCAAATGTCGAGACAATATAGGTCTATATGAAGTCGATGATAAAAGGTTGTCAAACAATAATGCAGGTGAGAAAAACGTTAGATCATATTAAATGTTCTATTCTCACTGCTGGTGAATTAAAGTGTCGTCAATGTTGAACATCGAGAGAGTCAAAATATATCTTGCAAAACGTACAAGATGTAAATAGGTGAGCACGTCCACCGGGAATGGTCCGGGGACGTAGCAGTTCAATCCTCGTTGGATACAATTTTCTAGGTACAAATATCAACACAATAACAGCATGTGTGTATACCAATATTAAAACAGCTCACTGATTCCCGCACAGGAAAATCAGAAGAGCGCCAATCAACTACAGCGCGATTGGTTCAAAACAAGCGCACATGTATGTTAATAAGGCACGTGATCTAAATACTTATGAATAAATACGCGTACATCTATGTTAATTGGTCATGTGATGAAAATACTAATGAATAAACATCGTTATATAATAAATCGAGTTAAAACCAGTTCTGAGGACATGGCGTAATACCAAATCCTCGAACTCTCAATGACTTCTTAAGCGGCCATTTTGGATTAAAAACACAATATGTATACCAGTGAATTATAAATGAATGCACTGTAACATTTGTCGCTACATGTATACGGACAACGCAACGCTGCCCCCATCCCCTCCCCCCCCCCCCCCCCAATCATGATCATGTGTGCATCAGGAAGGGTTAGCATTAGAAACAGTTGGGATTTTTGCTATTTTTAGAAACATGCCTCCTATTAGTTTTAACAGTTACTTACAACTGATTAAACAATGCTTTAGTCTAGATCTAGTTCTGCAGGCAAAGGCGCAATTAGCCGAACTAAGCTGCATCCATCGGCCCCGCGCGCTCGACGGGCGCTGGCCGCGCCGAGCATAGATGCACGTCGCGGCGCTCAGTCCTGAGACTCAAAAACTTCATTTTATTACTTAGCAAAAACAATTTTACGATAATAAGAATATAATACGATGACAACAAGATTTCAACTTACCGAGTAGTCAGATGCTAAGTGAGAGATGTAGATTCTTACGTTATATGAATTAATCACAGCTGCAGCCAGCGCCGGAGCAGAGGCTCTCTCTATGCTCAGCTGGAATGGATATCTGTACGTACAAACTGCCATTCGTCATCATTGCACATAGACACGTGATAAAATTATGCAATGTTTACTTTTACGATGACGTCATTCTCGGGGTGTCTCGCTAGTACATGCAAAAGTGCCTTTGATGCAAATTCACCTGTTACGAATACTTTATTTCAATGGTCAGAATGCGAGTTGCTTAGATTAGTTGTTGCTAGGTATAGATAATGGCTTTTCCTACCTAACAACATGTAGACCTAGCTATAATATATGACATTTACATAATACCATTAGGCATTTCAGGTGAATCAGGATTCGTATCCGGGCACTTCACAAAGAGGTAGTCTATTTGGTTACATTACAAAAATGACCTATTCGAATAATATAGTACCAAACGTCAGAGATACAAAATTCCAGATGCAAACAAAACGATCACTGAATATTGTAGGATCGCATATGCTTCCAATATGTTCATTTGAACCAAATTCATGACCCCATACCAAAACTTTGTATTACCTTTAAGGTCATTCAAAAAGCACTGTCATATTATGCATCGACAGAACTTTTATTTGCAGTTTCCCCAACTCATTTCTATTGCTGATTAACTTTGTATAATTCCGGTATGTTTGTAGACATGTTTCCATTTTCTGTGTGTTCTGTGTTTTTATAGTAATCTGTATCTTAATTTGTTTTATGGATTTGAATTGAAATAAAACTTGAACTTGAATTTATATAATTTGGGGTGTTTTTTTAAACATTAAAGTCATGATCATTAAATGGTATACGCTCTGAAGAGAAAATAAATAAAACGCAGCATTAAAGGTGTAGACCAGTTTTGGAAACGCCCCCCTCTCAAAAAAAAAATGAAATGGAAGCTCTTATTACCAATCATTTGAAATAATAAGACTTCTTAAAATGGCAAAAAGAATTCTCAGATTAGAGAATTTCTAAAAAGATCACTAGATTTATCCATTGCATACAATTCACAAATATTGGATTTTATTTTTATTTGTTTTTGGTAGATGCTCCCAAATTGTAAATGGAAGAAACACGTGGTCAAAATCTGTGATATTACAGTAATATGCATTTTTCGTACTTGAATTCTAGTCCACAGAGAAGGAGAAGAAGGAGAAGAAGAAAATTAAGAATGGGTTTTGTTAATACCCCCATCTTATACTCTGCCATTATCACAATGATTGCACATCGTTATTCCCATTCAGGTATTTATATAAATTTAATAGCTTTTGATTGGAAATGTATATATAATGTTCATTTATGTATATTAAATGATTGTGGGATATTTTAAATTTTAATGTCGTTTCTAATATATTTGTTTGTTATCTTTCTGCTTGTATGGAGATGAGTGGGAGTTTGATACACTCATATATTTTGTTGATACATCAGGAAAGAGAAAAAGAAAGTGTGGAAAAAGGGAAATAGACATGAGGAGAGAAGGGTGAAGAAAGTGAGAAAACAAGAATGAAGGGATTAAAGTAGAGAGGGAAGACAAGTGTTGAAGAAATAAGGAGTAGCAGGAGGAAACATAAATGTGTGTGTGTCTCTCTCTCTTAGTGCCATATCGTTTGACTTTGGCGATCATGCCGTTCCACAACCCTCGGCTCCTAGCCTTCTGTATTAGTACCACTCCCTGATCTTTCACTCCTCTCTCTTCCAACAATTTCTGCAGACTGTCCATCCAAAGTATCCTCCTTCTTCCCCTACTCCTTCTTCCCACAATTTTCCCTGTCAAAGCAAGATTCTCTAGGCCTTCTTTACGTGTAATGATTGTGACCCATGAACTTCAACTGCCTAATCAACATCTCACGTATCACTTTCCTTTGCACTCCAGCTCGTGTAAGAACTTCCTCATTACTAACTGTGTAATAAATATGTATATATATATATATATATATATAATATATATATATATATATATATATAAAGCGAGAGAGAGAGAGAGAGAGAGAGAGAGAGAGAGAGAGAGTGAGAGCGAGAGAGGAAGAGATATCTCCACAACTATCTTTTGTACTTTCCGATTTTGAAAAGACAAGAGATTACTAGTTTTCTATCTCATATCTTCATATTCTTAAGTTTTCAAGTGCTCATATTAATAGACAAAGAAAGAGAACCAGGGCCCGGTTTCATGAAGCTTTTCATCAATAAATAACAATTTAGAATGCGTAGGAGTTTGATACACTCATATATTTTGTTGATACATCAGAAAAAGAGAAAGAGAAAGTGTGAAAAGAAAAGGGAAATAGACATACAAAGAGATAGGCGAAGAAAGTGAGAAAACAAGAATGAAGGGATTACAGTAAAGAGGTATAAGAGAAGTGTTGAAGAAAGGAGGAGAAGCAGGAAGGGGATATACAATGTGTGTGTGTGTATGTGTGTGTGTGGTGTGTGTTGTGTGTGTATATATTATATATATATATAGAGAGAGAGAGAGAGAGGGGGGGGGGCATGGGAGAAACAGAAGAGAGAAAGGTGGTAGAAGTCTGAAGAATTTTTACTTGAATATTGGCAGCAGTTAAATAAATTAGATAAAAGTAAAAGAGTTATTTAAGTTCGTATAACTACGCGGGGGGGGGGTGGAGAGGCGGGGTTCGATGTTTCAAACACTCCCGCCAGCCTGATATAACTACATGTATAGAGAGCAGACATCATTTCAAATAGAAATTTAAATCTCTAGCACAGACTAATATGTTATGAAGAATTTTGATCAAGAAATAAATGTTTTAAAGCGGGCAGTTGCTATAGCGTGACTAGAATTTAAAAATAAAATAAATGTCCTTAATTTCCCTGGGTGTACGAGGAAAATCCCTCTCACTCCATAACTATTTCCTGTTACTTTCCGTTGACATTGTTCGATTTCGACTTTTTGTTTCATTCTTGCGTTTAACTTTGATGAGTGCAAGACGGAAAACTTTAGTATGGCTCTTTTCAACGCTATTCTCCGATTTTGTAGTACTAATCATCTTTTAAGTTCGTTTTGAAAAGACAAGAGATTGCTAGTTTTCAGGTACTCGAAATTCTCATCACTCTTTTATCTTGTATCTTCAGGTTCTCACGTTTTCTTCAAGTGCTCACATTAAAAGATAAAGAAGGGGGACCAGGCTCCAGTTTCATAAATCTTTTCATAAATAAATAACAATTTAGAATGCGTAGGTCCTGAGCTTGATACACTCATGTACTTTGTTGATAAATCAGAAAAAGAGAAAGAGAAAATGTGAAAGGAGTAGGGAAATAGGCATAAGGAGAGATGGGTGAAGAAAGTGATAAAAACAAGAATGTAGGGATTAAAGAAGAGAGGTTAGAGAAGTTTTGAAAAAAATGAGGAGTAGCAGGGAGATATATACAGTGTATATATATATATATATAGAGAGAGAGAGAGAGAGAGAGAGAGAGAGAGAGAGAGAGAGAGAGGAGGCATGTCAGAAACAGGAGAGAAAAGGGTGTATAGAAGTTTAAATAAATTTTACTTAAAATATTAGCAGGAGTTAAATAAATTAGGTAATAGTTATGTTTTGGACTTGTGCTATCTAAAGTCCAAATATGTTTTCTTTCCTTTTCGTTTATGTGTTATTCACACATTATGCGTAAATTAACTACGGCGTTATATGATTTATCGATCGTATACAATTACAAAATATTAGATTTTTAAAAAATTTGTTTATGGGAGATGCTCCCAAATTGCAAATGGGGAAATGCGTGGTCAAAATCTGTGATATTACGGTAATATGCATTTTTCGTACGGTGTGGAATCGATCTGAAAAGGTTGATCATGTAACATATCAGTAATGGTGTGTACTGCAAGTGCAAATTATAAGAAATTTGAACCAGTCTTGGTAAAAGTAACAACACTGTATACACAGAAAGATGTATTTAGGAGTACACAAACATGTGGCATAAAAATGAGGCCAATCTTTTTAAAGCTGTTACTCGTCATACACTGTTGGTCATAAAGATGGAATAATTATTTTATACCCCAATTCATGGAATGATTTTGACAATGATTTATTCCTAATAGATCTTAATAATAGTATACATTCTCAGATTTTATTGAATAATGATTTGCGAGTGTTATTTTGCGTGACTGCTAAAGCATGTGTGTGCTACTATGCTAATCAACTAGGGGACCTACGTCTTAACTGACAGTAATGAGGATTAATGCCTCACAAAAGGGCACTAATATAGCTGATCGAATCGGTTTTTATTCTGGGGCCTCACAGTAACGAGGCCATTGCTTCGCCACTGAATCATGACTGTACGCAGCGGGACTAGGGTACGTCGCCACCCCCACAAATACTAAAAAAATCAAAGAAAATGCAATTAATTATCAATAATTCATTGCATTTTCCCCGGTCCCCAACAGATAAAATCCCCCTGTAGGGCCGTGCATTTGGTTCAAGGCATGCCCACATAGAGGATTTTTGTATGTTGGGGGTCGGGGCAAAATGCAATAAGTTATTGATAATTTATTGCATTTTCTTTGTTATTTTGTATTTGTGTGGGCTGCTACATACCCTAGCCGTCAGTGCGTCACAGAAAAAACGAAACTGAGAACTATCGATGTTTTATCATAACTTAGTCACATTTATATTTAATAAATGACACATATTTGAAAAAGCTTAGATCCTCCTCTTTCATTTGATGCAACTCATATGAGGCATATTTCACGCATGAGTGATTAAAATGAATTTGAAGAGAGGAAAACAAAAAGTAATTTGGCGGACGGTATCTGAATTTCAAAAAGAAAATCACATTTCTAGAAAGTTGATTTTCTGCCCTATCATATGACACCTCAGTCAGGACAAATGAGCTAGGAATAACAAAGTTCTGTTTGCATTTCCATAATTTCATTAAACGAAATCGTTTTCACTGGCTGTCTGATGTAGCAACAAACGGAATTAACAAAAGACTTAACTCCGTTTCGTTGACAATCAGCCGTAGACGAAAGACTTCATGCATGGCTGATTGTCAACGAAACGGAGTTAAGTCTTTTGTCAATTCTGCTTGTTGCTACGGCAGGGAGCCAGTGAAA